GAAAGAAAGAAAGAAAGAAAGAAAGAAAGAAAGAAAGAAAGAAAGAAAGAAAGAAAGATGGGGAGAGAGAGAGTGTGGTGTGTGTGTGAGAGAGAGAGAAAGAAAGGAAGGGAGAGAAAGACAGAAAGAGACAAAGAAAGAGAAAGAAAGAAAAAAATAGGAAGGGAGAGAGAGACAGAGAAAACTCTTGTGCTATTATTTTTAATTGTTCCATTATTTATCATGTGTTAATATTTTACGCTGTCCCTACACCTAGAATGATTCTACTGCCTTTCTTTTGCCCAGGGCTACCACATATTTTTCAGGGTTTACATGCATTCAATGTCAATAGTCCAGAGCATAAAATACACATGTGTTTAACAAGAGTTGAAAGGGACCTTGGAGGTCTTCTAGTCCAACCCCCTGCTCAGGCAGGAAAACTGAGGATGCCAAACTCTGAGTAGAGGTCCTGGGAAAGGTGTCAGAATAATACTTAGAAGGGACTTTTGGGGGAACCCTATACCATTTCAGAGAAATGGCTGTCCAGTCTTTTAAAAATCTCCAGTGATTGATCACCCAGAACTTCTGGGGACAAGCAGGTCCACTGGTTAATTGTTCTTACTGTCAGAAAGCTTCTCCTTAGTTTTAGGTTGCTTCTCTCTTTGTTCAGTTTCCATCCATTGCTTCTTGTTTGCCTCCTGATGCTTTGGAAAATACATTCCCCTCCCTTTCTTTGTGGCAGCCCCTTAAAAGCCTGTTGCCTATCACACTCTTGAGTAAAGCATGTGAGCCATTTCCTCCTTTCAGTGGTCCATGAAAGTACATCAATAGTATGCAGATAATAAAGTCAAAAAAGGTGAACAACATTTTTACAGAACTATAGATAAGTTGGGGCTGGGTGACAAGGAATGGCTGGGAGGGGAGGGGCCAGGTGAGGCACCCCTTGATGTGAGTGACATTGAGTTGGCCACGCCCACCCAGCCACATGACCACCAAGCCACGCCCACAGAACCAGTAGTAAAAAAAATTGAATTCCACCACTGTATCCTTCCATCTGCCCACCATCACAACTGATGAAGCTTCTTGGATTAGAAGTGAAATATTTTCTTCTTCTTCCTCAAGGGGGGGAAAACACAATCCAGTTGCCTCTGAGCCAAAAAAAACCCAACTTTGAGACAGCTATGACTTGGATTACTGAGAATCTCCATAGACATTCGCTGTGTTCACTACCATTCCCATTGGATTTGAGGTCCATTCCTTCAGTGTGCAGAAAGATTTCTTCTCCCTGCACAGAGAGGAGGAGAAATCCCTTGGTGCACTAGGAGAACTGATCTCAAAACCTACGTCCCCTCCACTTGAAAACTCCCCTACCTGCTTCTCCCCTAGTTTTCTGGGAAAGCTGGCAGACAAGACTGGAAGTGGTGGTCACATGATTGCCAGACATTGGAAACTTACTGCCAAGTGTCCCAAATATGATCTTGTGACCCAAGAGTGCGGGTAGCACAAGGTTTTACGATAGCCAGAAGTGCTTTATGAGCTGTAAAGCATCCATTCCAGGGCAGTCATTATTGTGAAATGGTTGTTAACAAACTGGTTGTAAGTAGAGGTCTACCTGTAATAGAAGTTAGCAGTCCTAATTTATAACATTCTGTCATGGCCCTGTCGGAATCTGATTTGGAGGGGGAGGCCGAGCAGCTGACAGGGAGTGGGAGTGTGGCTCTGTTGGTTGTGGAAGAAACTGGGGAAGGGCACAGCCCGGCTGGGCAGAGCAGGGGAGAGGTAGAGCAAGGCAGAGGGAATTTGGAGGAAGACTCAGGCCCACCCTCTCTTCATCCTAGGGCAAGCAGGGAGGAATGGAGAAGGGAGCAATGTGAGTTGCGTGGCTTATGGGGGAGGAAAGGGCTCTGATTCCCTTCAGTAGCTGCAGTTGGGAACACAGTGTTTAAAAAGAGGACTTGCGCACAGCCAGCAAATGGTGTATTATCTGGTATTGTCAGAGGCTTATCTGGGTTCCTGGCATCTTTCCAACTGTGTGTGTTTTGCTGACCTTTCAAGTCTGCAATTCCTTCTCCTGCCCTGTCAAATTAATTACTGCAGCCCGTTTGTGTGGATTTTTATTTACAGTTTGTATGTACTTTGTTTTGGGACTGAATTTCCTCCACTATTCTTGGGAGAGTTTATTCTCCAGCCAAAGGTAACCTGGACATTGGGAGCAAAATTGGAGGTACTAAAGGGACTTTTCTTGCTTATGTAACTGTGTTGTGTTTGTGCCATGCCCCTGGTCATCACAAATTCTAACAAAAATGTTGGAATACTAAAATTTTAAAGCTGAGAATTCAGAATTTTCAGATAGCAATTTGTATCATTAAAGAAAACTAGACTAAGACTATTAAGACATTATTATAATTATACAATTATTATACAATTATACAATTATATATATAACCACATATTATTCAATTAAAATAATTTTTCACCTCTTATTTTATAGCTTCATCACCCATTTGAAAAATATCTACCTGTGCTCAGGTGTAGACTTTATGTCCACTGATGAGATGAAATCATCCTCATAGGAAGCAATACTATCTGGAGAGCTCATGGCAGGAAGTAAAGGTCGATGTGTTGATGATCCCTGTCCTGCATGTTCTTCAGATCCTGGCAGAAGGAGGAAAGTGAAAATGAAATACAATCAATATTTCAGAAGAATTTATATTTCAACAAAGGTTTAACACAGAGTATGCAAATGGGTAAAATGATCCTGACTCAAAGACCAATTATACAAAACAACTCGGAAAATTCTAAATAGCTATACATAGAACTAAGAAAATATATTCTTTCCCTAGCAATGCAAAGAGGTGGAACTTTTTAACAAAAGATTGACTTCATTGCAAAAAAGTATAGCAGCCAACATTTCCAAAACAAATTTAAAATCTTATACCTATAAGCAGATACCAGCAAAAGTAGACATACATATAGAACACAGGATTTCAAGAAATATTCATTCAATTGTTTACCTAACAAAATATCAGAGATATCAAAAGGTTTGTATTTGCTTACCTTTCCCATACAACTGATAAGATTTTGTAAAGATGTTGATCACACTATGTGGACTTCCCTTGACAAGTTCTTCCCACGGTTTTGGACCATTCCTAATCTGTGTGAAAATAGGTAAATAATTTTCTGCCTCCTTCTGAAATTCTTTTATGGCTTCAAAACCAGTTTTATCTGCAACACAGAACTCTTTTTCGTTTAATGCCTCAGCAATCTTCAAAGATGGATTATAAGGCTTTTCACCTTCTTCCTCAGAGAGAAGACCATCGCTGAGTAGACCTTCACTTATGGAATCCGCACTATCATTCGGAACTGCAGGTTTGTTTTCAGGCCCAGCAGAGCATGTTTGCTTTTGAGACAGATTTCCTAATATTTCTTCAGGTATATTATTGCCTGGAAGACCAACAGCACCTGTATGAGGACTAATAGACTCTGGGAGCTTTTTAAACTCATTAAGATTTTCCATTCCAGGAGGGTTATCATCAAAAGTTGTATGCGAATTGCAGGTTGCCAACATTTTCTGAAGCCTGGCTGAAAAGACATCATCTTCTCTCACAGGAGGGCTGCTGGCTTTTGCCCAGCAGGTATCGCCTTGATCCAACAAGTCATGTTCAGTATGCCATGCTGCTTCATAGTTAATGCCAGCCCCAGCTAATTTTTTGGCTTCGCTTTCAATTCTGTTTGAAAGAGAGGCTGCAGTTGCCTTTAGGGCTTCAATACGGTCCAATTTATGTTTATAATGATTAATGGTGGGTTGTACAGTAGATGACATAAATGGCTGAGGAGTTGAAGACATGGATCCCATAGCTGTGTTATGGTTCCTTCTGCTTGATGTTACAGATTCAAAATCCTTTTGCAAGATACCCATGTTATCCAAAGATAAAAGCTGAGAGAAAAAAGCTCCATTCAAAACAGATTTTGAGCTAGGAAACTGTGCTATTGAACTTAGCTTCTCTGGATGAATTCTTAAAGGCTCCAGTGTATTATCTCTGTAAATAATCCATTGAATTGTCATCAGTTTACAGCAATAAAGTTTAAACATTTAATTATAAAATAATCACCTGTACTAAGAATTGATAAACTTATGGTGACCAAGGATATAAGTATTTTGGATGATTGACTTCAGGGAAGAGGGCAATGAAATTTATGTGGTTTGTTGATTAATTGTTCTTTTGGCAAGGAAGTTCCTTGATTTTTTAAAACTGGATTTGGTTTTTATTGACACTCTATTTTTCACTTATCTAAACTGTAAAGATTCTCAAATAGACTTGTGGATTACCGGGTTCTTTGTTTTTCTCTTCACCCTACCCACTCAACTAAACACTCCATCTACCATCAAGACTGCTAACAGTCCATACATGAATTTAACAGTCGACAGTTTAACAACAGTCGAGCAGATAATCATTAAACATATTACTGGCTCCAAATTTGAATATTTTAAAGTGAATCTGAATTCTTCATACAATATAATCTTGCACTTTTCATTTGCATTCCTGAAGAATCTTGGTACAGACATAGCTTTGAATATACAAAAAGAATTCTATTTCACTTCTAATTACCTATGAAGTGGCATCTTGCTTTTCATGACATATTTAAGAATTTTATGAGCATTGAATTTAGTAAATATATTTTCAAGATTTGGAAAAATATTTCAATATTCTCAGCTGCTATAAAAGCTGTATAGCTAAATCACATATAAAACCATTATCTCTGGTATTCAGTGTGTTCTACTTTCTAAGCCCTGAATGCATACTTTACCTTACAAGAGGATGAGGCGGCTCAGAGAGAGACATATCACTACTGGATGATGCACTAACAGGACGCTCCTGAGCCTTGTTCTCTTTATCAGATTCTCCAGATGGTTGATATCCTGGTTTGGACTGGGAAGAAAAATTGACATTTTTTTAAATAAAATTAAGTACAAATTGAATCAATACTTATACTTTCCCATGACTTTCATGACTAATTAAGGATTTGAATATGGATCTTTTCAACACTAATTAAATAAAGTAACAGCTATACAACGACTCAGATAAATAGCCAAGGCTTATACCCCATGAGTGTTATAGCTGTATAATCAAGTTTCCACAGACATGATGGTTTCCTAAATATGTTCAGCTAAACATATCCAGAATGAATCTTCAGGTCTTTCCTTAGTGTAGAAGGAGCAGGAGCAACTAGGGTTAACAAAGGGCCAGATGCTGATGTCTACTTTGTCTCTGTCTGGGTTTTAGAAAATGTCTTAATAATGTGGCTATTATTCACATCTTACACTATGCTAAAAATTGTACATTGTACTACCTTTGCGGACTGCAAGAGTGTTGGCAATTCTTACACATCTTATTAATGCTATTCTTACTGTGTTTCTGATTGTCTTTAGGCAACCATGGGATTTAATAGACCACTCTGACTAGTCTCTTTTAGTTGAATTACCTCAACAACTTTAATCGTATTAAGGGGATAAAGTCTAAACCCTAGCTAACGTGAAATATCTCACCTTTACATCTCAGAAAAAATATCCAAGTGTTAATATTCTTGAGGTGGTAAGCTCAAGGAAATGGCATGTTGTAAATGCAACAAATGAACAAATAGAAACTATTGCTGCTTATTGTATGCAATGTTTTAAAAAGTAACATGGAAAAAACACAGAAACTATCCCAACTCTTATCAACCTACCTGAACTTCTTGAACAGAGAGTGCTGGATTCTCCAGCAATGTTTGTTCCATGAACAATTTAGAATAAGTTTCTTGTAATTGTTTAGTGACCGTTTCAGATGTTGATGTTGTCTTTGTTTTATTGGCAACGGCTTCTTTTTGTTTCTTGTAAAGTTCCTGGAGTCTTTTATTTTTTTGCTGTGTTGCCTCCTTTTGTGCTTTCTTTTCTTCACTTTGTCTCTTCTTCCTTTCCTCCTGCTGTCTCACAATATACTGGCGCACTTCATCTGCATCATAGTGGCGCTTCTTTAAGATAAACTGAGTGTCTTCACTGGTGGGAACTTTGTCTGATTTTCTTTTGCCTGGACTGTGACTTCTAGAAAATGGGGGTGGTTCTGATTCCTGATTGTGACATATTTCATTCCTCATCTCTGAATCCTGAGCTACAGAATCCAGTTGCAGATCATCAAGAATCCCACGGATTTCTACTGGCAAGAAATCCTTATTTACATGATCATCTCCCAGTCCCTCATTGTGAGGAGCAGCATCTTTTTTCTTCAGGTTATTCTTTCCTCTTATTTTGCTCAATGAACGCTCAGGACATGTTGTGAGGGGTTTTACAGCCACAGGCATATTGCCGTCAGCTTCTGTTATTTGAGCTGAAGATATTGGAGGGAAGCAGAGGGGGGAAGATCAGAATTTAGCATTACCAAGGAACTAAGATTCAAAGTAGCATATTCATTTTAATATCCAGTATTTGGGGACATTATTTGATGGGCATCATTTTTTAATCTATCTTATTTTATGGAATTTGAACACTATACCCAGAAATTACATTATTTGATATAGAAAGAAAAATTACTTTTAAAAGGTTGGAAATAATGTTGGGCAATAAAATAATATGCAAACGCAATGTAATATTTTTTAACCATTACCAGAAAAAGAATACATACAACTTTGAAACTAGTCATGAAAGAATTAGTTAGGGCTATAATTTTCACGTTCTCCGATTTTCAACTGGATCACCCATGAGAATTTGCTGTATAAAGCCACCTTGAGTCATCATGGTGAATAGGCAGCAATACAAATCTAATTAATTAATTAGTTAATGAAATTATTTACAGCATGGGTGTCAAACTTGTGGCGTCATGTTGTCATCACATGATGTATCACAACTTTTCCCCCTTTGCTAAAATGGGGGTGGACGTGGCCAGCGTGTGACGCATCTGGCCTGTGGGCCATGAGTTTGACACCCCTGATTTACAGCATAATCAGACTGTATATAGGCTCTAGAATAGGAATGTCAGACTCGATTTCATTGAGGGGCGCATCAGGGTTGTGTTTGACCTTGGGGGCCAGGTTGAATATGGCCAGGGTGGGCGTGGTCAGCTCAACATCACTCATGTCGGGAGTGCCTGTGGTGGCCGAAGCACTCTGCCAGTGAAAATGGGCTCCCGAGCTCGTGTTTTCGGCTGTGATGGCCTCCTGCAACCCTCTGCCAGCAAAAACGGAGCTCGGGAGAGCTGTACATGGCTCTTGCAGGCTCCATTTCAGCTGCAACAGCCCCCTGCAACACTCCTGCAAAAAAAAAAAGAGCTTGGGAAGGCTGCAGAGGCACCGCATGCCACTCCTTCACTGTTTCCAGGGCATCCCCATGGGCCAGATCTAAGCACTTTGTGGGCCGGATGTAGCCCCGAGGCCTTGAGTTTGACACTCCTGCTCTAGAATATAGCCTATTACATAACTGCAATTTTGCAAAACTGGGTATGGTCAGCAATGGAGTAATTTAAATTAATACTTCAAAATCACACTGCCTTCCTCCCAAAGTGATAACAATTCTTATTATTTTTTTCCTTGAAGATTCCTTTACCAGTAGCAAAATATTTCATGAAATATTGTTGGATAGTCAAGCATGGTGAATCTTAGATTTTATTTCCACCTATTATTATTTTGTCTCTTTTTAAAAAAGGAATACATTAATAATTCCGTGTTATACAGCAGTAGACCCCAACCTTTGCAGCTCCAGGGATTGGGGATAATTTCACACTGTGTCTGTTGCTTGTGCAAATGCAGCTTCATGCACTCATGCAACCCTTGCACAGCCCAGTTTTCAACAGCTGCAGTCCAGTATTGGGCCATGGCCTGGGGTAGGGCCCTTGCTGTACGGTATTCATTCAGCCTTTAAAGTGAAGGTACCAATTTTTATTTTAAAAATTTATTTAAAGAACTGTGTGCAAAAAAGAATAATTGTTCAGAATTAAGTTCTATTTTGTTCAGTATATGAGACATAAAGTGAACAGCTGCTTTTCATTGGCATGAAAACGCTCACACATGCACACACAACCCCCCTCTCCCAAATATATATATTTAACTTACCAGTTTTAATAGATTTATCTTTTTCATTCCTGTCACTAGACAACATCTGAGTGTTTGGCTGCTCTATTTTAGGCACTGGACCCAGTATTTTCTTTGCTAGTCTTTGTCCATCTCTCCAGGACGCTGTACTTATTGTGTTGGCACCACCTAAACCAAGAAAAAAGACATAAAACATTTTCTATTTCTTATTGAATAACACACCAGGACTCTATATTTCAAAGAAAGTACATGGATAGAAGTGGCAAGAAAAGGAAACGCATTGCTATCTCACCAATTCATACAATGACACCATCATCTGAAATAATGATGAGTTCCTTTCTTCATTGCTTTTTACTGAATTAATGTTATTGACATCCGGGGAAGCAGTGGTGGACTGAATATGGCTCTATAGAGGGCAGAACTGATGACCATAGCAGAAAGAGGAGCCAGTGAACGGATCAGCTCCCCAAACTCCTCTCCGAAATGAGAGGACCAGGATTGCTCACAAGTGCTCCTTAGAGAGGGCCTCCATGAGACCATATAACAGCAATGTCAGAGTTCTAAGAGCCAAGAGAAACTCATCTCACCAAACTTTGATTGGGAATGTTTTGTAATGGACATTCAGTTTGCCCATTTCCTCTTAATCATTTTTGGAAATGGCTTAATTGTTTTTTGCGTAGTGTGAAACTTCATGAGGGCACATTTGATTACAATGGATAATTTTCCTTCAATCATCAGTGAAAGAAGTTCCACATATGTTTAAGAACTTAAAAGTAAAATTTATTATTCAGAAATAAACAGAAAAGGCGTGATTGGAAAGTTGATTCTGGAAAATTACAAATGGACTAATGGGCCAGATTGACAGGAAATAGGATTTTGAAAATAAAAATCCTTCCTGTGATTTTTTTTTTAAAGAATCTGTGATGACCCGGGGCGTGGCACAAAGGCAACACAGTCAAATAAGCAAGAAGAGTTCCTTTATTATCTCCAACTTTGCCCCCAATATCCAGGTTACCTTCGGCTGGAGAAAAACTCTCCCAGGAACAGCCTTTAAGTGGAAAAAATTCAGTCCGAAAAACAAAGTACATACAAACTGTAACTACAAATCCAAACAAACCACGCTGTAGTAATTAACTTGACAGGGCAGGAGAAGGAATTGCAGATTTGAAAGCATAGCAAAACACACAGTTGGGAAGATGCCAGGAACACAGATAAGCCTCCACGATTCCAGATAATTCACGATTTGCTCCCAACAAGTTGCTGTGCACAGCTTCCCTTTTTAAATAGTGTTTCCAGCTGCAGCTAATGAAGGGAATCAGGGTCCTTTCCTCCCCCATAAGCCACGCAACTCATGTTGCTCCCTTATTGGTTCCTCCCTACATGCCCTAGGATGAAGAGGGGGTGGGCCTGGGTCTTCCTCCAAATTCCCTCTGCCTTGCTCTACCTCTCCCCTGCTCTGCCCAGCCAGGCTGTGCCTTTCCCCAGTTTCTTCCACAGCCAACGGAGCCACACTCCCACTCCGTCAGCTGCTTGGCCTTCCCCTCTGAATCAGATTCCAACAGGGGCATGACAGAATCCTATTAAAATACATGAAGCTTATGACCTTAAAAGCAGCCTACTAGAGGCAACCGGAAAGAACTAAAAATTATTTCAAGGAGAAGAGGTCCCTAATACAGAATGTTAAAAAGTATTTTAAATCTGGAAAAATTCATAGCAACAATGTAGGTTGAGGACTACATGAAAGACAGACTGAATGACAGGCCTTATTAGCAAATAACAGATAAAACATATGGGATTTTTGGTTGAAATTGTTTACAAACCTTTGGCTGAAAGGTAATAATTTGCTGAAATTGTTTGTACTTGCCTTGATGAAGGGAGAAGTCATTTCTTTGTGTAAATTTATTTTTTCCCTTCCCACTTTTTTCTCTGCGTTTTATTTTTTCTTAGCATTCATTTTTTACCTTTGTATTTTAAATTTCTTGCATTCTTAAATTAAAGCTAGCTACCCTTGTCTTTGATCTTTGCTTACCATTAACTTTGTCTCTCTTTATATCCCTCAATGTGTTGTACAGAGAATACTGAGAAAATCTACAACATTCCTGCAGTGAAACTTAGCATAGAGTCATGGATCTGCAATGTTTGGTTAACATGATACATGCCGTTAATATATCATATTTGAGGAAACAGTACGCAAGCAAGAGGATGATAAGAGAATGTGACTACAGCCCTCAGACATATGGAAGTAGCTCTCTTGAAAAGCATAAGCCAACACTGATGATTATTATGAATGAACAAATGAATCAATGAGTGAATGAATGAATGAAATGATAAAACTTGTATGCCACCTGACTGTCAATGGCTCACAATAGTTAAACAAAAAAAATTAAAATAAAATGCACCTGATTTAGAATAAGGACTTGAGACCTGTGAAATCTTCTGAGTTTTACGCACTGGTTTGTGTCCTTTTCTCTCTCTTTTTTCAATAGGTGTCTTTATTTCAGTCAAATCCTCTTCTGAAAAATATGTTAAAGAACGATTAGCGCATCAAGCAAACTCCTATCAGAACTACAGGAGCATGTTATAGCAATTATTATTAACTTTCAAATCAGAACTCATTGAAACAAGGTATGAATTAAGTTACCAATTTTATTATTTCTTTAAATTTACAGGGCTTCAAAGTATTAATTACAGGCTTATGAGATAAGTAGGTTAAATATACAGTATCACTGCTTTTAATGTAAATATTCACAAAATTACTCTCGCTCTTTACCTGCCAACTGGAATTCTAAATCTTGACATAACTCTCTACTGAGGTTCAAAAATTCCTCTTCACACCATACCTTTCCATCAGGAGTACGAATCTTGGCTTCTGATGGATTGAAACCTAAAAGAACAGCACAATTAATTTTAGCAGCTTAAAATACTCATAACATTCTATTTAGAAAGCTATTTAGATTTCAAGCCTCTACTACATGGAAGTAGCTGAGGTTTCTATCTAAATACATTCAATATTAAATACAAAGTTAATCACAAAAGACAAGATCTTTACAAAACCACTAGAATACAATCATTAAATTATACATCTGTGGTCCATTTGTAGCCAATTATTTGTTACCAGTTCCATGTTCAGTTACCAGTTTTTTAAAAAAAGTTTTCTAGATGAAATAGTATACATAAAAAACCCTACATATAATTCAAAAACAATATTCACAAAGAGTTTGTCACAATATGCTATTGACAAAAAAGAGGAGAAAACATAGGGTGATAGACAATAGAGTAAAATTTGAAAGGCGAGAAAAAAAAATAAACAAGTTTTTGAAATAATGTTAGTGGGTTTGTAATTGATCCCAAGAAAAGAAAAATGGAAATCTTAGCCTTCATTACACAGAATTTTTTTTCTCACATATACATTTTATTTAGAAATTATGTACCTTTATAGGAGGGAACCATGGGTGCTATTGCCACTTTTCTGATTTTAGGAGTCACTATATTTTCAGGAGCTGTAATAGTTACAGGATGATCAGAATATTCAGGATTATGTCCTCTGACAGTCAGTTCGTCTGAACACTCCCATTGCTTTCTAATTCGTTCTTTCAGTTTTTCCAGTTTATCACCATGCTGATGCTGCTTTAAAATATCTAATCTATGGGCACTTGAGGTACTGGCAGAAGAAGCTGAAGATTCTACCAATTGCAATTCTTTTAGTTCATTTTGGATTATTGAACTTTGAGATGTTTTTGTATACTCCTCTCCTCTGGATTCTTCACTTTCTTCTTCTAATTTTGTAGGATTCACCACATCTGAACTTTGCAAAGCATTAATTGCTGGATGATCATTCAAATAGCGAACAACAGTTTCTTCTGTAAAAGACGAGCTTTTCAAATCTCTGCCATGCAAATCTGGTTCTCCTTTATCATGGATCATACCACTTCCTTCAGCTTTATTCCCTGCTTCTTTATACTTCAGAGGTCTGGCCTCCAATTGGCAAGAGATTTCATAAGATGGTGACCACGGAGAATCTCTAACAGAAACACATTAAACATTCATGCATAAATGTATAAATAAAAACAGGAACTCTAATAAATCTATGTTTGTCATAAAACAAAAACAACTTTGAACTTGAGAGAAAGACATAAGTAATTAGAAAATCTTTTCCCTTCTGTCGTTGAGAATGTCTTATTATCAAAGCCTTTTCATTTTGAAGCCATAATTCTAAGTAAGGTAATAATAATTCCTGTCCCCTCTCCAATTCCAAGAATTCACGAACACAGAACATGGATTGGCATTTTCACTGTCAGGCATCCAACACATCTTAGCTATAAAAAGCCAAACCAAAAAGTCCCCTACAGAATCCTTTCTAGATCCACAGCATGAAACAGCATAGGAATTTTCTTAATAGTCATGATATTGCAGTTCATGTAGACCTACTAAGTACATCTCTTTTCCCAATGAATAAGCTAAAACAAGAAAGTCCCCTCTCTTTCCTGACAAGAATATAGAGGGGACCAGAGGAGAAGGGAAAGCACTCTAATCTTTGCTACAGAAAGTCAGGGAATATAATACAGGGAGGGGGAGGAGGAAGGGGAATCTAATTTCATGAATTGTACTCTTCTCCAGGATAAAATAATATCAAAGGTTCAAGTAGGATAATTTCTTCACTTAGCATATTTTTCTTCTCCCAAGATCCATTAACATAACACCCTTCCCTCTCTTAGAATAGTGGTGATTATTGTTTTAGAATGCAGCTAGAATTTTGATAACTTGGTAAAAACATTGTCTTCCCTCCTAAATTGCAAGCAATAGCATAAGCAAGAGTTCTATTTCATGAAATCTCTTTAAGGTTTGGTTACTCTGTAAGTAATCGTATCAATAAATGTAAATTCTTCAAAAACAGTAAATAATTATGCTTACAATTTACTTCTATAATCCCTGCAATGGTAAGATGACAAAAGTAATCAAACTCACCTGAAAGAAGACAGGGGCTGACGAAATTCAACATGTCCCTTCTTACTCACATTGCTATCCAAAGTGGTAGCACGAAGAGGCCTGCGGTAAGAACTTTCCTTGTTTTGACTGGAAGACCTGCATCCTAAAACAAAAATCAAGATGTCTTTCATGCATCTCTAAGGGTTCAATAAGAAGTCAAGAACAGTGGTAAAAATTAACATTAGATATCCTTTCAGTATAATTTCAAGTTTGAAAGTATACACTGAAAAATAATTGATAAAAGAGCTGCATTAATTATGCACACATACACGTACAAATTTGAGCTTTTCGTGGTATTACAAACAAGACATTTACATAGTAAAGGATAATTTATTAAGCTAGATAAATTGTGACTACTAGAAGTTTGTGGTAGGGAAACACTGTCCCCAATGTGCAAAACACTGCTTTCAAATTTAGCAGTGTCTGGAACTTAAAAGAGAGAATTAAATTTGAAATGCTGTTCTATTCTTTCTATGCTCTACATTTGTCCAGAGATTTGGACACTATTCAGTTTCAATTGTTTTGCACTTCCATACTATACTTCATAGTAATAAGACACTATAATCCAAAGTACAGACAGTCCTTTCTTACTTACCACTTAGCGAGCAACTGTTCAAAGATTTGTGGTTTCTGAAAAAATAACTTTACAACTAATTTACAACCATTTACAACTTTTCAGTCATGTGATCACCATTACAGTCAGTACATGTTGTCCTGTGACTGTTTCCCTCCCCTCCCTTTTCCCCCTTCTACAGCGATTGGACAGGAAGGGATTGCAAGAGATATGTTTGCTGTTATACATTATCGAAAGCAATGCAATCATGACAGGAGCTCAGGACTGCAGCAGTGGTTTCCAACCTTTCTGGCTCTGACCTCCAGCAGAGGTAGGGGAGGATTCTGTGCAAGCAGTGGTGGAGCGCTCATATACATAGCTCCATTTGCACAAATACTCTCTAATCTCTCTGCTGTTCGTGGGTGTGGATGTAGGGGGAAACAAGTTATTTCTATAGGCAATTTCTCCTTTGTCTGGCAACAGAGTAAGCTGTTCGTTCTCCTATACATCGAAAAATTTGTCTCTTTCTAGCTGGAAAACGCAGTTGTGATCATATGATCTCCCACTTAATGACCACTTTGCTTAGCACTGAAGTTGCTAATCCCAAATAGGTTCATTAAGTGAGGACTATCTGTAATGACTAAGTACGGGGCTATTCCTTCCTCCTGTTTATTTTATTTTTTTGTTTTTTTTTAAAAGTTTTTATTGGTTTTTAAAAACAAACATAAACAAACAAAACATAAAAACATCAAGCCATCTTCCATATGTATACATACAGTGTGCCGGTTGGTTTACAAATTGTTTTGTGCTTCCATTTCGTAGTCTTCAATTACAATTACATTGCATATAATCTCATATTTTCAATCAAAAATTAAATACCTTAGTATCATTATTAATCAATCATTTGACTATACTTTTATTCATTCATGTTTTACCAGATAATCATAATTTACCTAGTTTGTTTTATAACAGTTCATATTATCATCCCAAATCTATCCTAAGATCATTTTGTAGATATAATAATAAAGAAGTACATCTTTATATTTTATTATTTTCTAAAAGTCTACATATTTCATTACTGTATTTTATTGTCTAACCATTGATAGAATAGATCCCAAATTTTATAAAATTGTTTATCTTCTTGTTCTCTAATTTCAAATGTCAATCTACTCATTTCAGCACATTCCAATATTTTCTTAATGATTTCCTCCTGTGATGGTGTTTTCTCATTTTTCCAGTTTTTGGCAAATACAATCCTAGCCACTGTTAATACATTTACAATCAGATATTTCAAGTCTTTACTATATATTTCAGGTAAAATTCCCAATAAAAATATCTCTGGTTTCAAGTCTATATGTTTTTTTGTCATTTTTTCCAACCACGTGTGGATTTTAGTCCAGTATCTTTAATTTGTCTCTTTGGCAGAAATCCATTTTGATCAGGATGAATAAAATTATTTAGATATTTTTTAAGTCTTTCTGCCAATATTGAGGCAAAGATTTTATAATCTGCATTTAGTAGAGAAATAGGTCTATAGTTCTTAATTTGTAATGGATCGGCCTCCTCTTATGGAATAAGTGTAATATAGGCTTCTGACCATGATTTAGGTATCTTCTTCTTTAACATAACTTCATTCATAACTTCGAGCAATGGAAGATTCAACGATTTTTGTAATGTTTTGTAAAATTCTGCCGGAAGTCCATCTGGGCCTGGTGCCTTTCCATTATTTTGCTTCTTGAGTGCTTCAGTTAACTCCATCATCGTTATATTGCTTTCTAACATTGTTTCAATCTCTTTAGGTATCTGAGGTAAATTAGCATTCTGTGAGTACTGTTTAACTCTTTCCTCATCAATATTCTCTTGCATATATAATTTCCCATAGAAGTCTCGAATGATTTCCTTCTTCTCTTTACTACCATAGCAAACTTGGCCTTGGTCATCTATTAATTGCAATATTTTCCTTGATTCTTTCTCCTTTCTCAATTTGTATGCTAACCATCTATCTGGTTTGTTTGCGTCTTCAAAGTAGTTCTGTTTAGCACCTCTAATTTTCTGTGCTAATTCTTCTTTTTCTATTTGACCCATTTTATGTTTAACTATTTCCATTTTTAGCTTGATGTCCTTTTTCTGTGGCATTTTCTGTAGCTCTTTTTCAAGTCTTTTATACTCATCCTCTAAGGCCTTAGAGGCTAATCTTTTCATAGTATTTCTTCTCCTTGTATAGTCTATTATCAAGCCTCTAACATATGCCTTCATTGTATCCCATACATTCTGAATTGATGTATCTTCTTTTTTGTTTTCTCTAAAGAAAAAAAGCCAATTCTTTCTCCATCCACTGTGTGAAGTCTTTTTCCTTTAAAATAGTATTATTTAACGTCCATCTAGATCTTCTTTTTTGTCCTTTCCATTTAATTGTCATTGGATTGTGATCTGCCCAAGTACTTGTTTCAATATTTATTTCTTGAATATTAGTTATTAATTCTGTTGACATCCATATCATATCTGTTCTGGACCATGATAAGTGTCGATTTGAATAGAAGGTGTATTGTTTAGTTTAGTTTGTTCAATGTTCTCTGTTCTTTGTTCGATGTTCTCTGTTCTTTGTTCAATGTTCTCTATTCTCTTTTCAATATTCTCTGATCTTGCTTGAATATTTTGAATTCCTTGCATAATCATCTGCAGAATCACTTTTTCTTGTTCTTTTTCTTGCTTTAACATTGTCTGTATTGAACGTTGTCCTCCAGATGGTGGAGAGGAAGAAGTAGAAGTTGAAGAACCAGGAGCTGTAAATTTCCTACTCATTTTAAGCAATTCAAAATCTTCAGGTTCTTCTAAAACTTAATCCAATTGTGAAATAACCAATTGTAGTTCGAAATAAAAATAGTAGAAAAAAGAAGCCAAATAGTAATGATAAAAAAAAGGGAGGACAACATTTCTTCAGGTTCTTGTATACCTTAATCCAATCAGTAGTTAGATGAAGAAAAAGGCTTGGAAAAAAAAAGAAAAGGAAAAATTCTTCAGCACCTTAATCCAATTGAGAGGTCTCAAATAGAAAAGAGTGCATAAAAATAAACCAGAAAGGTAGATGAAAAAACAAAAATACCAGAAAAGGAGAAAAAAGGCTATTCCCTTAACAAAAGGAAACATTAATACTAAAGCTTTCCCTTTAAAATAAAAAGCAAGCGTAGAGACTGGACTTCCAAAGAAAAAAAAGAAACCAAAGACAAGCTCCAACAAAGCCAAAGATCCAAATAGCTATTGCAAAAAAAAAAAAAAAATGAAATAAAATAAAGCTGGTGAGGAGGGATAGCACAACTTAGAAAAATTAAAGAGAGCACACTGAACTTTGTTTAATTATCCAAGGCTCTTATTATAACTCTCTTCTCCAAAAACTTATCACCTTTTTTTCTCCTAGGTTTCAACACCAGACTCCAGCTGTTGATAGAAACCCAGAAGAGCACCTGCAATAATACTCTCCCATGCTCTTCCCTCTATCTTATCAAATAGCAATGTCCTTGAAAAAAAGTCTCAATTCTTTCTTTCTCAGCTTTGTCTGGTCACAGGAGAAATAGAATATTTCCAAGCCTCTAGTTGGCAGTGTTACAAAGTTTCTTTGCTTTCACTTTCCCCCTCCTTTTCCAAGCAAAATATAATAAGAATTAATTTTAAAAAAAGAAAAAAAGAAAAAGATATTTTAAAAAAAGAAATAACTAAAAGGGAGTCTCTAGCCTAAAATATTACAAAATCAAAAAGGAGAAAAAAATATAGATGTAAAAGAAAAAAACAGTCCAGTTTCAAAATATAAGATCATGTTTAGAAAATCCAGCAATGAGAAAAAAAACATTACTTTGACATTCCTGTTTAAAATCGCCACTTAATCACTTCTGTCAAAACTTTTACAGATTCTTTCTTTTCCTTAGGGTGTCCTTTCAGATCTTAGAATAAAGAAAAAGTTCTCACCAAACCGGCACACTCTCTCTTTCTGTTTTCTTCCGTTTCAGAGCCGTCCCAACTTCAGCAGCTTTAATGGCTGCCTCTTTGCCGCTGGCAAGAAGAGCTTCTCCTGGATCTACCAGGGACTTTGCGATATCCCTGGGATCGACAGGATGCGCTCTTCACTTTCACCGTCTCTTCGGGACGGTTTAGATCCGATAGGACCGTCCAGGAGCAAAGATATCGGCAGCAATCTCAGACCTCCAAGATCGCATGCCGTATCGTCGCTCCGCCAGCTCCGCCCTCCCTCCTGTTTATTTTTAATACTGCATCAATGAAACACATACACAAATTAGTGCTAGCAATATTATAATAGCGAAAAGTAAAATTTCAAAGATGAAAGAACTTGGGGGAGGGTCTAGTGGAATTTTATTTATTTCCAACTACAATTAAAGTTATTGCAACAATGGTAGGAAACATCTGAACCAAACACCTGGTCAGTTCAACTGAAGTTTGAATGTGGTTTTCTATTTTTAATTTTTATTTGCAATGAATTTTGTTGGGATAGATTAACTTTGTTAATCATGGTAGATAATTATAAATTCTGCTGAAGAGCA